CTAATTGAAAAATAAAATATTTGTTTCAAAATAGAATATATATGACAATATTTAAATATAATATATCCTAGACTGACAAATCATCTTCGTTCAGAATCGTTTTTCGTATRCAATGATACCTATCATTGCATTCAAATTTAATCCCATCCATTACAGTAACCTACTGTACATCATAGCGACATCCACGACTTACCCGCTTTTTTATATATATAGATTAATGAAGTCATACAATTTATCACCCAGAGAGCGCTGTGTGCTGGTGTAAAAGCCAATACACGTTTTGAGCTTCACATTTTCATGGTTCRTTCCGCAACCATATTATCTATAGCCGTGATGATAACATTGATAACCGTGATCACTGATTTCTAAGGTACTAACCAAAACCGAGGTTGAAGCCTCTAATTCCAATCGTGGCTTGACGAGCACTGAGCTGCTCGTGCGTCGTGCAGTCGTGCACAAATGTACAACTACTACAACTTAGTACAAGCACAATGCAACAATGGTTGATGTCGTTGATGAGTACTGAGTAGTGACTAGTGAGTACAATACAACAATTGTACACATATAATATATAAAATGTTTAAATGTATAGAAATATACAAAAAATTAATAATTCTTAATTAATATTCTTGTTGAACATTGGTGATAGAATAGAAGCACAATGATTGATTAGAACATTTAGAACTCACTACAATAACAGTACAACCAACAGAACACGTAAGTATAATACATTTATCTCAATTATTATTTTCATACTTATTTCTCAAGGTAATGAACAGTCGCCGATATTTTGACATCATCATTTACTGTCATGATTCCTATGTTTACTTTAAAGTGTTAAACTGTTAAATTTTAATTTTTGTTGGCTAATGAAGTCAAGATCCTGATTAAAGCGTTGTTATTTAATTGCTATATTGTTTTAAAAGTTACCAATATTTGAATGTTAATGGATAAAAGCGTTATTATTTTAAGAAGTTAATAGTATTTTTAATTAAGGCAATCACAACGATTCTTACGGATGTCCAATTTCCAATTGTTAAGGTAATATTTTGTACCCAAAATTACATCATTAATTGTTGTTACCTATGTACCTACTTAATGCATATTATTTATATACTAGTAACCAATAAACATGAACATAAATTTAAGTACATTGTAGGTACTAATCAGCAACAAGTTAAATATTATATATTATATATTGGTATAAAGGTATAAAGAATAATTTCTTATCTTTATGTTTGGTAATGTGTATGTTAAAATATTATTAACTGTTCAATGATTAGTTTCTCTAATTTATATAAAAGTGTTTTATTCAGAGATAATATTATAATTATATTAAAAACAAATAATATATTGGTAATATTTGTGTTGATATTTAAATGGTATTAATACTATTAATGTTAAATTGTATCTTTGAATATGCATAATATTGATAGTCTGTTAGAAGTTAGTGTTATATTATTTTACTGTTTAGTATTAATAATATAATGTAAACCTGAAAGCTGCCGTATCTAAGTTTTAAAATACTACGCATCCACGTGACTTTTGCACTTTTGATACAATATTTCATTATATAACTGTAATAGTTAATTTAAGCCAATATAATTTAATTACACTTAATTCAAAAACTTTATGCAATTTAATTTTTAATCCCAAAATTAACTGTCATGCAGTGTATTGAAGCATAGATTTAAAATATAGGAATTTTTGTGTAGGTATGTGACATAATCTGTGATTRTGAATCATTGAATTTTAGACCTAACTGCAAAACTATAATAGTGAACATCTAAACTCTAAACAGTCAAGGTTAGGTACATTAATTACAACACATAATGGTGTTTGTTCAAAACACCTAAAATTCTTCATTACACAATATACTAGTTTTTCTTAATTGATTTATGATGCTAATTTAAATATTTACTTCTTTGATGAATAAAATATTTAATATTTACAGATTTCATTTAAAAAAATAAAAGTTACTGAATAATAATCTAACAGCATCATCATATAGGAATCCTGGAAAAAAAGCCCAGAAAAAAAAGTATAACAAATATAGGCAATTTTATATACGGATTACGAATACTCAAATACAAAAATAGTAGGTACATAATATAGTCATATAATAATAATAATAGTCACAGCAGGTCAGTCAACTAAAAATATAACAATAATATTATACTAAAAAAATTTTGTTGGGTATAGTGTAATATGATATTAAATATATAACGAAATAAAACTCTAAGCTATGTTGTCATTCAAAATAGTAAAAAACTCAAAAAATTATAAGAATAAAATGGTAAAAGTGTAAAACGGTATATAAGTGTTCACATTTATATTTATATTTCTGGCTTTTTTTCCGCCTTCCGTCATATATTATAGTATTTTAAATAATAGGTTATTAACATATTGAAAATTGTATATGTTTCTTGCATAATTTTGTTAGAATTTTCTGATTGCTTAAAATGTACCTAATGAAAATTATTTTTGATAAGCGATTTCTAAAATATAATTATTACTATTATGTATGTCTAGAATAATTAAAGTATTAAAATTAATTTAAAAAAAAATTATAATAATATATATGTACATCTTTTAGTTTTAACAACTCATAGATACAATTCAGTTTTCAAGTGTAATTAATAAAATATATTTTACCTAGCTTTTTGAGTACTTAATATCTTGTTCTAAGATGTTTTGACATTAAATTTGCTATTTTAATGTTGTTGTATTGATGTGATATCATAATTGCAGCTTCTTATGAAGTTTTGTAACTATAGTAATTTGTGTTATAAAAAATATAATAGTTTTTTTAAGAACATGACGTATATTATTGACTATAAACTTGTATTAATATTTAATTTAATATACTTTTATTTTAGTTGAAGTAATCTTTAACAAATGGAACAGGAAAATGGASCTGATCATCTCGGCGAACACTCACAAAAAAAGAAAATAATAGTTTCTTACWACAATAATCACAATCAGGTAATTTCAAAATCAATTGATGATCAAGAAATGCAATTCAATATGATCAATAGTGATTTAATAGTTGATTCTTCTACATCTTCTTATAATAATGTTAATTCAAGATCAAATTATACATCCAACTCTGATATTGATAATACCAACCAGAGCAGAGAACATTCAACAGTCAAATTGAGTCCATCAAAAGTTTTGAAATGTAATGATACTTCAGAAATTGATTTTGGTACAGATTCCGACCAAAAATCAAATACACAACAGATTTCTAGGTCTAGTTTAGAGAGTAATAATCAGGAGCTTCTTAAAAATAAAAGTTTAATCCAATCTATGCAATATAAAAATACTAGCTCTGACTTTCTAAAACCAACTGAACATACTACTCAATTATATAAAAATTATATTCGATTCAAATTTTTTTGTTTAATTTGTGACACTAAAATGAAATCATTAAAAGATTGGGAGTCACATGCTATAAGCACACATCATTTAGAAAAATGTATGAAAAAAAATGATTATGTTTCATACGATTGTGGTGGTTGTAAAATATTTTTTTTTGGAAATAAGGAACAAATATTAAAACACTGTAAAGATATTCATAACGATATATCTGGACTACCATGTGTTTTTAGATGTATGAAAGAAGTATTTTATCACTGTATATTTATAAGTCCAACAAATTGGAAATCTTGGTGGTTTTGCGGTCCCTGTAAAAATTATTCATTTTTAAAAAAGAAATGTTATTCTAACAACCACACTTATAAAAAAACAACTAATTTTAAATGCAATTCATGTTTAATAGATTTTGTATGTAGCCAAGAAGTATACAATAAACATTTAATGTCATGCGAACACATTATGTTGGAATATTTTAAATCCAAAAAAGTTGACGAAAACCCTGAAACTCAAACTATATGCAATTTAAAACTGCCTCTTGTAATTTTAAATAAATTTAGTATTGATAATGTACAAGCTACTTGTAATGATTGCAAATTTCAAATGGTGCCCAATGAAATAGCAATAACTGTGCATCTAACTGAATGTATTAATAAATCTGWTGGAGGAAGAAAAAATACAACCAAAATCAAAACTTATTTTTGTGTAATCTGCAATGAAATCATATCAAGTTTTAATCAATGGAAGTTACATTTAATATTATCAAGTCATTTAATTAAATGTTATGATATTAAAAATTTAGTTTCATATACATGTGAACCTTGCGAACTACATTGTTATGGTAATGTAAATCATGTGACAGAACATCAAAATATTCATCCAAACGATTCTGAAAAAAATCTTAGTATGTTTATGGCTTTTAATTTCCATCGTATCAACAAAGATTTAAAACCCAAATATTTTTATTACTGTGAAGAATGTGAAACATATGCTGAAGTCAATTCTAATTCAGATCATTGGAATAAAAGTCATAAGACTAAATTGAAACGTATAATCTGTCAACCTTGCCGTACAGAATTCTTTTGTATTGAAGATAATTTCTTGTTCAATAAACATAACTTATCAAGTGAACACATTATTTTAAAATCTGTAACTGCTAAAAATCCACTTCCGGAACTTAATAACCAATCATTGATCAATCAAAATCAAAAACCTTGTGTTCCGAAAAGTATTTTAGATAAAAACAAAGCTCCATTCGATGTTAGACCATATTTGCAATTTTTTCAAAATTTAAAGAATGAAAATAAAACCATGTGTAAATCGTGTGATAGTCTAATCGATTTAAATCACAATGATCTGCTTGGTCACTTGTTAGTTTGTAATCATGGATTGGTAAAAAGTATCCCTCAATCAAATTTAAATTATTTTCAATGTCTGGAATGCGCATTTTGTTCTAACAACAAGGATACATGGAAAAATCATGCAATTACACATGCAAAGTTAGACACTAATGTTTGTTATTCATATATTTGTAAAAATTGTAACTCTTTAGTGTATGGTGAAAAGAAAGATATTGAATTACATTTAATTACTGAACATAAGAAAACTATTATAAACATGCCATTAGAATCAATATTAATGGCTAAACAGTTGATTAGCAGAAATAATAATGCCAATGCTAGCAAATTGTCTGATATTATGTGCTTTTGTGAGCCATGTAATAAAATATTTAAGTCAAGTGAAAATCATAATCATTTTAATACAGACAGTCATGCATTAGCAGCATCAGATATTATAGAATTATTTTACTGCAAGGATTGTGAAGTTGAATTCTATTCTTCAATTACAGTCTATGAATGCCACAAGTTAACTGCAGAGCATATAATTATGAACTCAAGCTACATAAAAACTGAAAATAAGACTCCTAAACCTATGAAACTTGATACTCATTTACTTACCTATGCTACTGATCAACATTTGTACGATTCAACTCTAAACATTGCATTTTTYTGTTTTGTTTGTGATTACTTGTGTTTAAAGTTAGATGTATGGAAATTTCATATTAATAGTAAAAAGCATATAAATTCTTCCAAATTTCTTTGTATGGACCACCGATGTAAAATTTGTAAAACGCTTATGTTTGGACATCGACATCACATGTTTCAACATTATAGCAACCGTTTTCATTCAATGTTGAGGCAATTTAAATCAATGAAATCTACTGCAGTTTTAAAGCTAAACTGTGAAACAAAACACACATGCAACATGGGAACAACTTCTAAAAATAATCAAACTGCATTGTTTGATGAGAATATATCAGGAGATTCTAGTACTAATAATAATGAGGTTAATTTATCAACAGAAATGATGAATGAATTATCACTTCAATCAAATATTCTGGAAGAAAGTAGTTTATTAGAAGTATCTACTTCTAATAATGTCAATGAATTACATTCAATGACAATAGATGAATTTTCTCACAAATCAAGTTCCCGTCATGATGATAGTGTAGTAAATGAATCTATTGCCGAAATTTACAAAACTCAATCATTGAGAAAAACTATTGATGAATTTTCACTTGAATCAAATATTTGTCATGATAAAATAATGGAAGAATCTACTACTAATTGTAGTATAAACCTCTTAGAGAAAAAAATAGAAAATAAATCTGTTCTTGAATCAAACACTAAAATGTATAAAGAATTTTATAGATTGAAAATGAATGTATTATATGATATGCTTAATCAAAATCAAGAGATTAGACCGCAAATTTCTTATTATTGTGCATCTTGTGATTTCATTACTGCAATAGAAAAACATTGGGAGGAACATAATTTAACAAACCATTTGAATGAAGTTGGAGTGCGTTATAAAGTATTTTGTGATATTTGTAGCTTATATCTAGTTGGGCTGCCTAATTTAGATAAACATGTCAAAACTATTGAACACAAAAATATGTTGGATTTCAAAAAAATAATTAATTCAAAATATTTTAAAATAAAAAATAAACCTAACAAAAAAATTGAGAAAAACAGTAATTTGATTGCTGCTAATCCTTCAGATGTTACTCAGACTTTAAAAACAGACATACAACAAACAAATGGTATTAAAACTGATGAAAGAGAAGCAAGTAATCGTAAAATAATGATTGAAATTAAAGGTAACACAGTAGTTTTTTTAAATTGTAAATTATATTAATACATTTAAATGTTTTAGATGTTAAACCAGAATATAAAAAAAATGGCTGGGTTGAAATTAAGAAAATATTTTCTTTTTATGGACTTTTTGGAATTATTACTAAACACAGCTCTGTTATAATCATTTTTCGTAAAATGTAAGTATATGTTTTATCAAATAATACAACAACTGTTATCCTTAATTATTATACTACCTATCTTAAGGTTCTATCTTCTATAGTTGTGAACTGCAGTAATTTATCAGTATATATATTGAGTGACTTAACATATAAACTTTTTACTTCAAACTGTAACAGTTTTTGAAAATATTTATTTTATCTACATAACTAGGTAATAATATAGTTTTTATTATTTTTAAATCTTATTCTATTTTTAGTGAGTTGAATTTTTAATTTTCTATGGCTTATTCCAAACCAGGATATTTGAACTATTTTTATGTCTAAAAAACAAATGTTTTACAAACGAGTAGTTGATGAGTTATAAATTATAAGTACTTAAAAACAGAAGAATTGACTGTGTGGAGTGCTATAGTGGTCCGCGCAACATATTAATTCACGACTTAGCTCATCTTAACCTTAAATTCTTACAACTAATTAATAACTTATATGAAATATTATTTTAATAGATAGAAATACTCTGAATAATAACCTGCTTCGGTTTATGAAATGAAAATTGTAAATTATCATCCAAAAGAGTGAAAAATATTTTTTTTAAATGTTTTTAACAACTTAAAATTACGCTACTGAAATATTTTCAAAAACGTTATTGTTTTCTGTGATGAATGTCTTGCRTAAAATGAATCACCCTGYATTCATAAATAAATAAGCATTACATATTATAAAGTTCTTGAATATTTATATTTTCTAAAATATTTATTACAATTAGGTACTTTCCAATCTATAGTATTATGTATGATTATAAACACGACCTTCTATTTATCAAGTCAATGCTTCACTTCAATTTACATATTCAATCTGTCTCAGAGGTAGCAAAATGGTCCTATAAATTATTTCGCTCCCATCTAACAACCACTCAAACCCTTTATAGTTTATGGATATTAAAAAAAAAAACTTATAATTATTAAATTATTTATTGATTGAATATTGTTCATCACTAGGGCTCGGGAGTTGATGATCTAAATAAAACTTTAAAAAGTATATGAATAAATGATCTAAAAATAATGAGATATGACTTTTTAAAATGACCTAAAATTGAAGTATAATGAAATAAAATAACTTTATTAAATACAAAATGTAATATTTACTGTTAAAAATTATTATTTTTATTTTTAAACAACTAGTTACACATTTGAACATATAGATATATAAAAACAATGTAAATAACAATAACAAATATTAAAGACAAATAAAATTGATATCTAATTAAATTAAAGTTATATTAAACAATAAGTGTGATGCTTAATATTTTTGAAATTGAACAAGTGGCAGTTTCCTGAAAACAATTGCTCATACTTAGATAAGCTTCTTTCTATGTCTACTGATGTAATCGGTAGAGCTGTATTAATACGCCGTTACCTTATCATAGAAACCAATTGTGTATTACGTTTGTTTTAAATTATTATTATTWTTTTTTTTTTATTGATCAAATAAAACCCGGCAGCTACATGGCCATTAGTTACAATAAATTATGGTAGGTTTACAAGATTTAAGATTTTAACAATATTAAAAATTATTGTTAATATAGTATTCTGTATAGATAATTAATAATTAGTTTCTATTTGTTCATGTAACCAATGTTTAAAAATAAAAATTTAATAGTATAGATTAAAATTATTAAAATAAAAAATTATTTTAAAAATAGAAAACATAATTTAATAATAACAATAAAAAAGAGCCAGAAAATGCGAAAAAATACAAAATAAAAGTTATTTATTAAGATTTTCATGCTAATGAAACTCATTTTTAGCTATGAAAGTATCATCTAAGAAGTTCCAAAAATCAATTTTAATGTTTTAAAATCATTGAACTATTAAAACAGTAAAAAGTTGTAAATTATAGTTTCAATTTATACTCTATTTATGATTAAATAATTTTTTTAGAAACTATTAGTTTTTTTCATAATAATTTTTAAATCAATTTCTATTGTCATTACTAATTTATGAGATTTACCGGGATTAACCAGGATTAACCACTTGATTTTAAATACTTTTAGATTCTGAGTGGAACGAGGAATGTATTGATTTTACCATGATGTGTTTTTTTTTCGGCTTCAATACCTCGTTCGATCAGAAAGTGAATCTAGTTGGTACTTTGGCGTGTCAAAAGTAAAAAATTCTCAATATTTTTCTAAATAATCGGGATAAACAAACTAAAAATTAAGAGAAACGTTTTACAAATTTTACATACAATCGGTTTTCGACAAAATCGATTTTAGTTTTTGATGTAACTTTAAAACAAATTACCATARATACATGAAAATTTCACTGAATGTTTATATAAGTATATTCAATCCACCATGCAATTTTCAAAAATGTTCGACTTAAGTTGAACTATTTATAGGCATACCTATGCAATTTTCAATCATTATTATTTTTTTTAAATTMATATTGATAAAAATTTATTTATTGTGTAGAAAAGCTTGAAAATGTAATAGAGGTTCCTAA